GCAGGTGACGACTCCCCCGCTTTAAGTAAGGCACTTTTAATAGTCACCAAGGTAACTATTTTGGAGAATGCAGTGAAATTGTGAACGTTATAAATGTTTTTATAAATATACATTTCAAAATGGATATTAGAATTAAAATTGACCAATCCAGAAATGGTATTCTGACATCAACGTTAGTTCTAGTTAATATTAATGAGAAAGTTCAACATTATCCAATCAGCAAGCACCTAATTATTAATATGCAGTTGCTATGTCACATTAAGGAATCTGTGCACATTGTGGGCGTAGACAATATTAAGCTCCTGAGCCACTCACAATTTAATATTTGAATGAAAGTTGATGATCGCCTTTCACTGTATTTTATTGGCTGCATATCAAAGTTTAATTTAAAAAACAAATTCTGGTAAATATTTAGAATATACTGCTACACAATATTCATAATTGGTCATCATTAACCGTGTATTTGTCATCAAAAACTGATTACTATAGCATAAATGTCATCTTGTGCTTGAGTACTGTAATAATATCCCATGATTACTTGCAGGGATTGCCATGTTTGCTCTATTGGAAGCACATACAATTGAGGCACATGCGAGCCAAAAACTAATTTTAAATGTACTGTAAACGGATTAATTATTCACTGGGTTTTAATTTTACTCATTTTGCTGACTGGAAAATGCGCTAACTTAAAACCCAGTGAATATGTAAAATTTTGCACAGAACACATTATCTAAATGATAAAACTGAATTTAAAACCCACTGAATATGCCTGAAATGGTAAATCAGCGAAATTTAAACCCAGGGAATATTAGTCATTTTACATTACCACACTGAATTTTATTAACACGTCATTCATGAAAGGGCATGCTCTTTACCCTTTGAATGCCAACGTCAAATTTCGTCCCAAATTTTTAACCTACATATTTTGTTTTTCAGAATTTTCACAAAATTTTTATCAAGTAGCCAACTGAAAATGTAGTTCATTTGGTCCAAAATTCTTCCCAAAAATTAAAATAAGCAAAATGTTAAACAAATTCTGACTGGAAAGAATGACGACTCTCAGAGGGTTAATATAGCAAATGCTGTATAATGTCATGCAGTTTAAAATTAAATGCTAAAATATAATCAAAATTGAGTTGAAAGTTCCACTTTTTTCAAAAATTCAGCTTTTGTCAACATTCACAATGAAAACAAACTCGCACAATTGTTTTCCAATTTTCATAAAAGAGTTGATGAAGACTAAAGACCAATGAGAAATTATGTACACTTGGTCTAAAAGTAACAAAAAATTTTTTAGAAAAATACATATAAACTGTGGCACTAAAATTTGAAACAATTGTACAACAATACAATATGTTACATCAAAGTTTTGGTGTTCAAATGGTTACCATACATGTACATCATTTATAAAATTATAATGGATATGTTGGTCAATGAGAATTTAATACTATTAAAAACACTATGAAATAGACACCCAATTTTAGAAAATCTTGATAAAAATCTAAATTATACAAACCTTGGTTTAGGTAAATTGTCAAAAATGTGAGAATGGGCATTTTGCTAGTTCGATTTGACAAAAATACTGGTAAGGGTGAATTAGAAACTCCACTTGAAAGCATGTATACATTCCTCTATAGATGGTTTAGAATCTACCGTATGTGGTATTCCGCTTGCCACTTTACTCATATCTAGGATTAACATTGCACACTATTACAATATCTCACTGAAAATAGAAGTGACATAAACATAGAATGTGGTACAGTGCATATTATGTGGTTTGTTTTGAATTCTCAAGGTAGTATATTGCCTAAACAAAGCCTTCAAATTATTTTAACACCACAGTTCTAAGTACGTCAGAAGCTATTTTAGTTTATGCAACTCATTTGTTTGTCAGCATTGAATGTTTTCATGAATAATTAACCTTTTCACAACCAGTTCCCTCTTTTTATTACAAATTCACAAAATAGTCTTATTTATAGTCTGCACTTTTCCTCAGATTTGGGCAAAAATAGCCAAATTTTTTAGTAAAAACTAGGTTTCATTTTGAGATACATTGAAGAGTATATTAAAAAGTGCAGAAAAATTTGGGCGAGTAAGTCTGGTGAAGAAACAAATGGCGTAATTCTCAGTGACTTCCTTTGAAACAAACATTATATACTGTAAAATACTTTATTTTAGATGAGAAAAGACTTTTAGGGTGTTTTGTATGGAATTTATTTTCACTGATTTTTGACGATTTAAATGTAAAATACAGTATAGGAAAAACGTATATTGCTGTATTTTATTTTCACTGAATCATTCAGCCAAATCAAAACATTTTACAGTATTCATTACCATATGCAAATGGTTATCGACCAGTTTCAACCAAAGTAAACTTTTGGCACATTTCACAAAATAAACCCTCCTGATTGTTGTCAAAATAATTTATCAGAATCTGTAACTGATGGAAAATTATATTCACTTGATGGAGAATTATATTTATTTGATTTAAAATTAACAAAAAAATTGTACAAAAATATATCAAAGTGTGCAAAAAGTTGCACAAAATCGTTGCCAGGGAAAAATGTGGTATTCAAAGACTAAAATAGTATAAATGGCGAATCTTCAGTTTGATGTCATTGTATTATCTACAGTCAATAGAGTTGATGTAATGAGATATTACTAGCAACGTAGCTAGGCATTAGTGGTGTGGCATATAACAAATGGAATGACACACAGATTATACACTATTGTATGACTACTCTATACTCTTATCAGATTGTATAGGTAAATTGAAAGTTGATTTTAATACAAGGTAGGAAGTTGTGTGTTAAAACATATACACTCACTCTTACTTTAATTGATAACAATATATTTTGAATAAGATAAAATAGATTTGGGGGGGGGGGGTCATTGAACTTAGGTTCAAGCCTAACAAAAAAAATAACAGATTGCACCAATTTTTATTCATAATGGTCAGCATTGTGGGATGGAAGAATTTTTTTTGTACGATTTGACTTAAATTTCCATACTTCCTCAGACAAGATGTTCTGACTAAATATATTTTTAATTAGTTTCATAAAAAAAAACCATCGAAATTTTCAATGTTTCGCAATTTTAATATTTCTTACTCTTCTATACAATTTATGTGTACGAAAAATTCACCTAATTCAAGGCATGACAGGAGTATGTCATCATCATCTGTTGTAAGTTATTTCTATGAATTAGTTTCAAAGGGGACACTGGTTATTAGGTTATATATTGAGTAGTACATGACCAAACATACAAGCCATTCTCTAATTTATGGTGTTTTATTGCAAAACACAATTTTAAGGCAGTCTTACGTCACAAACAAATTTCTGTTTCACAAACTGTTCTGTATGAGCTTCACAATTTCATAAAAGCTGACAAAACGTGACAGCACTGCAACAGCTAGGAACTGGTTTATTCTAGTTTATGCCTGTTCAAATCACTGAATAATCTTACTACTGACCAGACACGACAGCAATGCAACTGGAACTGGAACTGGTTTAGTCCAGTCAAAACCAGTGAATAACTGTACTGTTGAAGTCTATTGAAAGTACTGTGCCTTCGACACCACAAATTCGTTTATCCAGTCTGGCTGAAGTCTTCCTTTTTTTCAAAGTCTGAACACACTTGTAGGAACAGGTTTATTCTGTTTAAAAGCAGTCTTTCTGTTGTGTTATATAATCAGCTATACAGTATACCACTGATTTAAGGCACAATAAGTAGTTATTTGATGATTTTAATAATTATCTGGTTCTTTGTAGTTAGGCTGAGCAGCAACAAAGAAGTCATCAAGGTAGCCAGTGAGAAACTCAAATGTTGGCCTTTGATCAGGACTTTTATTCCAACAGTCTAACATGAGGTCATAGAGAGCTGGAGGACAATTCTGTGGTTTGGGCATTCTGTAACCTCTATCGACTTGCTCTAATACTTCACGGTTCATCATACCTGCAGAGAATAAAGAATATGTCAAGTAAATGTACAACAATATTAAATAACAATTAATTATTGCAATTCCTCTTTTCATACCAGTTTGAACCAGTTAAATAAATACATACCCATGCTCCAGTCCAGCTCAAACCAGTAATTAAAATAAAATACATATTCATGTTCCAGTCTAGTTTAAACCAGTTAAATAAATAAATACCCATGTTCCAGTCCAGCTTAAAACAGTTAAATAAATACATACCCATGTTCCAGTCCAGTTTAAACCAGTTAAATAAATACATACCCATGTTCCAGTCCAGTTTAAATCAGTTAAATAAATACATACCCATGTTCCAGTCCAGTTTAAACCAGTTAAATAAATAAATACCCATGTTCCAGTCCAGTTTAAACCAGTTAAATAAATAAATAAATACATACTCATGTTCCAGTCCAGTTTAAATCAGTTAAATAAATAGATACCCATGTTCCAGTCCAGTTTGAACTAGTTAAATAAATACATACCCATGTTCCAGTTCAGTTTGAACCAGTTAAATAAATAGATACCCATGTTCCAGTCCAGTTTGAACCAGTTAAATAAATACATACTCATCTTCCAGTCCAGTTTAAACCAGTTAAAATAAATACATACCCATGTTCCAGTCCAGTTTAAACCAGTTAAATAAAAACATAACCATGTTCTAGTCCAGTTTGAACCAGTTAAATAAAAACATAACCATGTTCCAGTCCAGTATAAACCAGTTAAATAAAAACATAACCATGTTCCAGTCCAGTTTAAACCAGTTAAATAAAAACATAACCATGTTCCAGTCCAGTTTGAACGAGTTAAATAAAGATGATAATAATTTGTAATACTTAGTTTGATCCACTTAAGTTACTAAACCTACCGGGATATGGCATTCTGCCAAGTGTAATTAATTCAGTAAGCAATATACCAAATGACCATACATCAGATTTTGTTGTAAATGAACCATAGAGCGCTGCTTCTGGAGAAGTCCATTTGATTGGAAACTTTGCACCTATACAATAGAAAACACACAATGTACGATCCTATAATCACTTTCACTTCAACAATCACGGGAATTGAAATATAAAAAAATACCTGGTTGTCCAATGAGAAAGCCACTATAAAATATAGGTTTCCATTATCATTCACCCTCAATTATTGATCGTCTTCCATGAGAGGGCGCTATGACAATAAATTTTTTTTATAGAGACAGAGTACTCCAGTACTCTGATATTCTAACACTAGAGGGCACTGTGACAATAAATTTATTTCAGATACTTTTTATTTAGAACATGTTTTTATGATACTTCAAAAAGCATGTGTGACATCCTAATTTTTCAGCAGGTCCAGATTTCATTCTAATGCACAAGACATATCAGTTTTGAATAAATCTCGTGGAAATCTTTCGCATACTGTAAAATGATTAATTTTCACTGGGTTTAAATTTCACTGATTTTGCATTCCAGGCATATTCAGTGGGTTTTAAATTTACGGTTTTATCATTTAAATAATGTGTTCTATGCTAAATTTTACATATTCACTGGGTTTTAATTTAGCAGATTTTCCAGTCAGCGAAATAAGCAAAATTAAAACCAAGTGAATAATTAACCCTTTTACAGTAATCAAGCTCACAAGGTAAACCACATTTTTATGATATCTCACAAAATTATGCATGTTTGGCACCCCAATCTCTCGGCAGGTTCAAATTAAGGTACACACTATCTAAGATTATTAGTTTTGAATACATCACATGCGAAACCTCTTGCCTATTTCAGGTTACGATGGGCCAGCGACAGACAGACAAATGACAGACATTTTGCCAACTACCAGTATACCCTGCTCTGAACTTTTGTTTAAAGGCCCAGGTATACTATAAATACGCTCTTAAACAATAGAAATTATTTCAGCTCAATTAACAGCTCCAGCCAAGCTCTCGTAAAAATGCGTTTTCTCGAACTTACAGGTCGATTATGTCATGCCAAAGTGGATGCATGTGACTATGAATATCACAGCAGTGACTGTGTGTAGTATTTATGACAATAAATAGTGTACGAGCTGAGATTTTGACGGATAAAAGTCAAAAACACGAATCGAGGAAAGGGATGCGCTACTAATCTTGAATAACTAACTACTGTCAATCAAAGTCACATGATGTTGGACCGCTGAAACAGGATGCGTCATAGGCTATGCAAGTGATTAACAACACTCATTAGCATAGCCACACCTCCAATTCACACTTGCCCGGGGCAAGTAAATTGGGCCTTTAAGGTCAAGGCAAAAACTGGTTTTCCACATGAACATGTACGATAATTGTCCAATAATTTTTTGGGATTTAACCTTTTGAATCCTATTCAAGTCACCAGTTTCCTCTTTTATAAAAAATTCACCAAATAGTCCTGTTTATAGTCTGCACTTTCCTTCAGAATATCAAAAGTTAAATATTTTTAATTAAAAACTGTTTGTTGGCTACAAAATTGGGGTTCATAATTTTCATAAATATTGAAGAAAGTCTGGTGGTGAAAAGGTTAAGCCTGAGTAATTGTTGGCGGCTACAAATTCATGGTCAAAAACAAATATATTTTTGGAGTTGACTTGAATAAAATGGATACCGATAATTTCAGTCTAAACTCACCTTGTCTGGCAGTGTATTCATCATCCTCTATGATTCTAGCTAATCCAAAGTCTGCAACTTTCACTGTTTTATTTTCCCCCACAAGACAATTCCTAGCTGCCAAGTCTCGATGAATGTAATTTATCCTTTCCAGATATGACATACCTGCTGCAATCTGACATGAGAAAACATAGATACAAGCAGCCAGTCAGCTGATAATTGCTCTACTTTATAGTTAGAAAATTGTCTACAAGGTGTCTACATATCAAATATTAAAGTAAGTAGGCTAGCCATATTAAACAAGCAGCATGTCGGCTGAGATAGCTCCGTTGTAAGCAATGCACATTTCAATTAAAGAACTGAAGATATCATTAGAAAATGAACAATATGTATAGTATCAAAGCAATTGAACTTGCTGTTTTCAACAAGAATTTGAAAATATCACTTTTTACCAAAAATATTCATCAAAATTAGATAATTGAAGATATCACAAAAATTATCATTGGAAAATGAGCAATATGTATAATATCAAAGCAATCGAACTTGCTGTTTTCAACAAGTCGAAAAAATAACTTTTTACCAAAAATATTCACCAAAAATAGAGAATTTGATATTTTGACATGAAATGAACAAATCTGAGAAAGAACCATCCAAGGTACTTGCATATCAAATTGGTACCATACTATACAAGGCCTAATCTCTGCAATACCAGATGACTGGAGAGAGAACATTCATGCTAATACCCATGAGTGGTGTGATTTTCAAAACAAAATTAAATGGAATTCTAAGTATGTTGCAATTAATACACTGACGAGCAAA